AAAATTCCATTCCATATATATTCCTACATTCTCAATACCTATTCAAACAATATATATTCTAACATTCTGAATTATGATGGAATAAAATTCCGTTCTCTATATATATATTCCTACATTCTCAATACCTATTCAAACAACATATATATTCTAACATTCTGAATTATGATGGAATATTACGGAATTGTGAAAGTAGAATGTTGGGGGATAGTTTATCCAACACTAAATTGAAAATGTATCCTTCCGATTTGAATTTATTTTATTTAAAAGTCACATAAAATATGTTGGAAGTGTAGATCACAGTAATTAAAAAGGTGAATGATCCCAGCATGAGAACAACAACAAAATTAGGAGGTGGCTTGACGTTCCTCAGAACCTTCCGATCATAGGTCTTGCTGCCGGATTTAGTTATCGTCATACCAAGACAAGCGGGAGCAATGAGAAGACATTTTTTTAATCGGTATCACCTCAAGCAAGGCAGTAAAGCCAGTAAAACACAAGAGGTTGCAGAGTGTGAAAGAAATTAGAAACAGAAAATTTAATGATGAGCGGAAAGAGAAAAGAGTAATGAGGAGGACAAAAGATAGCAATTAACATGGCATTTAAACTTTTGCAAATTAAAGTTGTCTGGAAAGTATGGAGCCAGAAGGGAGTCCCACCAGTAAAAAGTGTGAGTAAATAAACTGTTAACATTAGAACTTACGACTATATCTTGCCAGTTCAACTGTATTGATGAGATCTCGACGCCAGTCTAGTACCGCGCTTAAATTAATAAAGTCTAGGAAGTATAGCGAAGAGCGATATTTATTCTGATTATACACAGAAATGTGGCACAAGGCCAAAATGGGGAAAAGAAGGTCTTCTTCTGTCTTAACGATAACTTAGCTAGCCACAAAGACTGACTAAATCATACAAACAATATCCCTTGCACCAAAACAACACATTCTTACATACCTTTCTTACTACATCCACCATAATACCTCACTGTCTCTATAAAAAATACTAACTAGTCCCCATATGTACAATTCATTGTCTGTGGGGGGAATAAAACATTTTTAAAAACTAGCCTCAATGACTATTTACAATATGAAACAAAACTATTTGCATAAGCATAGCGAAGAGCTCAACCAATCAATTAACATGAAAGTATTTATAGAAAAGACACAGAGAAGCAACTTTACGGCCGTAGAAAAGTGATTGAAGCGGAGCCGTCAGATCAGGACAAATAATATTGCTCATTCTTCTTTGGATCTTATCAAGGAGATCAAAGTAAATAACAGGGTCACCGGGCCATATGTGGCAGCAATATTCTATAAATCGTATAAACAAGAAATAGTTTGATTTTATAGCAACTGCTTTCCTAAAAATAAAGGGAATAACTTATAAATTGAAAAATATAATGCTAGCTACACATTCATACCAGATTCTTGAATCTTGCTTTCAATGTTTCGATCGTTTTACCATCAGGTTTATTTCGATTGTATGTCGCATCTTCAGGGACTGTCGAACGGAATATTTTATTTGAATTACGCGCATATGTTGTTCGATGACAAATAATTCAAGAAAACTTGGCCAGGGCTTCAGAAAATTTTATTGGCTTTATGACAACGTTGTTTGTAACTTCTTGTCAAGAGTATTTACGTACCAATGGGAATGGTTTTGACATCTTGAGAAAGAAAACTCCGCCAAACATTTTACGCTTATACGTGAAAGTATTTAGAAATCAATGCATTTAAAATATCAAAGTTTGTTAATCAGTTATTTAAATGTCATTTCATAAGCTCGTTTAGAACATTTTTTTCATTGAACATTTGGTTTAATAATTCCAATCTATTCTTACAGGATTTAAAATTTTTCTGTGTAATTTGTAGAACAAAAATAATGATCTTGAATAACACTGCATATATTATTGAAACCGAATCTTTATGAAATGATTCTTCTTTTTCTTGTTCTAACGTATGTTGTCACCATTAAATTCTAGTAGTTATTGTTAGAGCTGGAAGAAAGCAGGTCTTTTCAAGTCCTCAGAATTACTTCAGATTTTCAGATTGTCGTAATCTGAATCTTCAAATTTTTATTTTATTCCAATTTCTTCCTGTCGCTTTAAAAAGTTTTTTAAACCGTTCTCTTTACTCCAGTAAATGCACATTTGACTTTTTATTCTCACATCTCACAATTTACGTAAATCTTAGACAAGGACTTAATATTTTTCATTTACATTCACGCTGTAGTCTGTAAAAGAGACGGATTTTGATTCAAATGTCCTTTTCTCGAATGTTTGAGAAGAGGAGGGATTATTATTATTATTATTATATGCCTCACCATTCAAAGCAATAGCCTCATTTTGATTGTTATACTCATGACGTTTCAACTGTAATACTCTGACTTTCTTCAGATGTCTGTCTTCGGACTCGGTAACTTTATTGGAATTTGGAACTGATCCCTTCATACAATCCACTTGATGTTATAAATCTGCTTTCGATGCTTCGAGGATATTTAATATCTGTTATTAATTACCAGTCTTATTTACCATTGCTTTGCTTGTTCGTTTATTACACTGAACCAGAGTATTTGACATTTCAGCACTACCAAATACAAGGACTGAACTCAAAACTACCAGGGTACCAGATAGTGATTTTCCAAGCGTAGCTTAGATGTGGCACAAGGCCGAAATTAGGGGGCATCCAGTGAAGATCGAACTCACTACTCATTCGTAATTGTTCTAGCGAGCCAAGCTTTCTAACCATTACACCGCCCCGAAGTGCCCCAAGATTTTCCAAGCGAAGCTTAGATGTGGCACAAGGCCGAAAGTATGGGGCATCGAACTCACTTTTCAGTAATAACTGAGCTAGCAAGACAAGCTTGCTAACCATTACACCACGCCCAAACCAGGGTACCAGATATGTTTGAACCAACGCTTTAATACGCGGGGACCATGTGTCTCTTGAATTAAAAGCACATGTTCTGGTGAAATAAACACTGGTGTGTATTAACTGATATAAAATATCCCATAAGCGGCATGATACTAATATGAACCAGTGAATTCGATAAAGTGTTCGGGTCGAAATTTCGAGAAGTTTACTGAGTACGAAGAATGACTCCTGAAGAAGATTGGACGGAACAAGACTGAAGCGTTCAAAATAAAACTAAAAAGATGAGAATGTTCACCCCAAAAAACGTTCTTTGTTTACAATAATTAAATCCGATCTTTTAGTTTAGTTTTATGCATACGTAAATAAAAGTTCCAAACAATTTTCTTTCTGTATTAATAAAGTTATCTTTTATCTATCACATCACATATCTCATAATCACTTAGGGTTGTAGGGACCCAAGATGTACTGTATCCGTAGCAGTAGTGCTCTGTTTAGGGCAAGATAGACTTTTTTGTTCGCTTTTAGCTTTCCTTCTGATTGCCACCCAAGACTAAGAGCTCAGCTAGTAATTGCCACATTCTAGAAGAGATGAATTCATACCTTTCCAAGAGTATTTTTGTGATAACGAGTTCAACGAATTCGGTTAGAATCTAAATTCAGCACGCCAGTCCCACATTCCGCGCCGATGTCTATGAGCACATCCAATGTGCGTCCATGGGCGAATCCAAATCACATGCACTGTTTCTTCGTAGGTGTAATCCCACTTCACCTTCAAAGACATGATTTCTAGTCTCTACTCATTCTCTAGGGATGAATCCATCTCTTCAACCCCACCATAAGGGTTAAAAAGCAGGACAGAACTCTCTAGTTGTAGTTGCCAGCCAGTATAAGAGAAGAACCAGTCTAAATTCAAAACCATATGTGGCCCTGGTAGTACACATAGTTGAACTGTGACTAAGTTCCACTCAGCATATTTACAGTAAAAACAACCGGTTACTTCTGTGGGTGTTGAAAAAACACAAATTCTCCTGGGTAGATGGTCATGCTCAGAACCGAACAACCAGGATGAAAATGAGACACCTCGCTAATTTACAGTGCGTCGAAATAGTTCTGATGTTGATTAACGGAAATTACTTATGTAATCAATTTTCGTTTGATTTCAGTTGATATTACTAATGCTTCTGTTTCCTTTCTTAACTGTCCTCTGCGCCGCCACGCCTAGATTTTTTTTTAATTTGCATTTTTTAGTTTACTTCTAAATTCTCTATGAAGTTGGTTGTTTCCTTATCTTTGAGATTCCATTGTTTTTTGTTTTGTTTATTTTCTGCGAGTTTTCGTTTTCTTAATATTTTTCTTCGTTGCCTTGCAGTTTCTTGGTGTCATAATTGTTTTTTTTCTATCAATCCTTTGTTTTCAATCACTTACAATTCTTCTAAGCTGATTAACTCCCTGTGAATTTCTGTTATGGCTTCTTGCTTCCCAGACAATTTTGATCTTCAGAAAGTTAAATGCAATGTCAATCGTTATCTACTGTCTTCTTGATTCCTCTTTTTTATCGTTCTTGTTCCCTAATAATGTCTTTCTTTTTCTTATTCTTTCATGCTAAGTAACCATTTGTGTCTTAGTGGCTTTATTCCCTTGCATGGGGTGAAATGATTAAAAAATATTGTTGCCATTTATTTGCTGAAAAGAACGGAGAAAAAGAACCACCTGAAAGAATTTTCAGATCCTCAAACGGAAAAAATACACATTCTTTTTTCTCTCATTCTTTGTTTGAGTTAATGCTCCAAGAAATTTGATTTTTTTTTTTTTAAACAGGTTTCTGATCAACAAACTGTATAATTAGTAATTATGTTCATTATGAATATTTTAACTAAGGGATGATAATTTCGACAGACGGATAATTACATGTTTGGTGGAACGAAATTAGGAAGGACACTGTCAAACATTTTGATATTCGCTAATATCAAATAGTGGTCTTCACTGTTTGACGTGAACATGTCATCCTTGCGTCGAGTCGCTTTCCGAAAGAGACACGGGTAATTTGTTACGGCTTTGCTCACAGTATGACGTTATATTATTTTGTAATGAGACTTTGCTAAATTTGACTTTATGGTAAACTGGGCATAAGGCTATATCAAGTTGAAACCCAAGTTCTCGTACGCTCACCAAAATTAAGCAACATCGAGCCTGATCAGTACTTAGATGGGTGGCCGCTTGAGAATAACAGCTGCCGGAAGCTTGGTGTGCAGCTGGCGTAAGGAATAATTGCTTGGAATTGCAAATATGAGAGGCAAGTTCCAATTCGGCCAGGTTAGTTAGATTCATTTACGCGCAAATATCATTGAGGAAGGTATTCATCCATCTCTTATTTTCCTAGCTATGGATTAATTAATAGAACTTATTAGGAAATCATTATTATGTCCAAAACTTATCTAAAAATTAATTTGCGACTTCAAATAACCTATAAAAGATTGATAATCCGTAAAAAAAACCAAATCACTTAGACAGTAAATGGCGGATAGATTCCATAACGGGTGTAACATTAATTTACTACAGTTCAGTAGCGTTAGCTGGCTAGGAAACAAAAATAGAAAATTGAAAATACCTGACAGTACTTGTTGCAAATAAAACGGATTCAATTTTACGCTATCTTTGAAAAGTTTAATACCAATTTTTCTGATAGGTAATTATTTATTACACCAATTTTATTATTTTAGTTTATCTTTTCTAACTTAACTTTTCTAATGTAAATTACCACCATTTCTCACTTAACGACTTATCACTCCCGAACTTACGACCCCTAAAAATATCTCATAAGAAAAAAATATGATAAAAAAATCCACTAATCGATTCTATTTTACTCCAGATTTTGATTATGCTCTCTTATACTACAGATTATCCTAAAAACTTCAGTTTCGACAGTGAAGATCTCAAACTACTACCAAATAAAAAAAAACATATGACTAAAATAATCTGCCGGGTTATTAAGAATTTATTTTTGTGAATATGATATTTTATATAAATGTTTTTTTTTTTTTTTTTTGGCTGGTAGTTTTCTCTTTCTTCAAAATAAATCACAATAAATGAAATGAATAAAGAAATTGAAAATAAATTAAATTTTACTTGTACTGCATTTACAGTATGTAAACCGAAGTAAAGTACATATAAAGCGGATTTTCGAATTGGTTTATAAGGTTTAATAATACGTTTAGAAATAAGAAAGGTAACAAATAGGACTAAAGTGACATAAAAGCTATCTGAAATTGGTTGACACAGACTTTTATATGAATAGTATGCCATATGCAGGAAATAGCAGTGATGTACACATTCTCATTTAGTGACGTTCTCGTTCAGCATTTTGGTCGTTAATTGAGTAGCAGCTGTAAATTTGATGTCAATATTCAGTCGTATGATGTTTAAAATACGTGTGAAACTATAACAAGGGAATAAATCGTATTGCTTAAATTTTATTGCATTCAATCGTAGGACATGCAAGGAGGGATGCTGAAATGTTCTCTACCCAGCCCACTTCACAAAATTTGGCTAAATGCTCACGTGTCAGATATAATTTGCTTCTTGGTCAGGCTGAAAACTTCTCAGCATCTTCTCGCTATAATTATGGAACAGGCATCACTCGCTCGCCCCAGACGAAATTTCAAGGAGAGAAAACTGTTTTCATTAAAATTGACTTTTATTGATTAATTAAGTTAATGTAATTTTTTTTTCAAGGGATGGTTTGCGGATGACAGAAAAGAGATAAGATAATATAGTGAGAAGAGTTTGCAGTCATCAGATCACCAATCAGATTGTTAAAAAACAAAAGTCACAGTGAATCGAATATCAAATCTATTGATAACGAAGATCGATAGGTCGAGAAAATACAGTTAAGATGCAAGCAAGTCAAATTGCATCAGGTGGAGTAAAACTTTCGACAGCCCAAATAAAATTATTGCGTTAATTGATCTCCGGTAGATCGTATTTGTCGTTCTATCGATCGAAATTTTGCCTCAGTTTTGCCCGCATTCGATCAATCATTCTCTCTGTTATTTTCAATTTCTTGCAAAACATTCTACTCGACCTATTGGGTATTAATCAGCTTTTTTTTCCCTCAATGATCGGACTCTCACTTCATTCTTGATTCTGAATATTTTTTTAAAGTAACATCAGAAAAAGAATTTTTATATCGCCTTAAAAATAATTTTTTTTCCATCGAATTAGTTTGAAAACAGTCTACATATATATTCTTTGTTATTATACATAAAGTTAGCCACAAATAAATATTTGATTAAAAGAAAGTAAAGAAAATCGTAATAGTGTGATCATTTTATATACAGAGTGCAATAAAGTCACTATACAATTACTTATAATAAAAAGCAAAGCGGAATCAGAAAAAAAATCAAGGCAATAAACACGACACAGAAACAGGTTCACGAGTGTAGCTTATAAATCTCAAAAAAAGAAGTTATCTTGGTGCAACATTTCAAGAAAGATGGCTAGGACGAAGTGGCAGTGTTGAGTGGCCTCCTAGTTCACCAGATTTAGCCCCGATAAATTTTGCTATATGGGGAATTATCAAAAAAGTTCGTTTTTGCAAAGAAAACGAGAACTATCGATAACCTCAATAAATTTATTCGAGATACATTTGCAGACTTAAGCCGTCAGAACCATTTGTGTCGTGACATTTGTCGAAGCGTTCTCTCATGTTGTAGAGAATTGATTTATGAGCGTCTCTTAAATTGAATCATTTTGAAAAACTATCAGTATTTTCACTATTTACATTATTCGGACTATTGTCCTCATCTTTGTTGCCATATTTATAACAACGTTTCGGCTGTTGTACGATCCGGCTCTCTTCTTTATCTAAGTCGCCCGTTATGTAAAACAGCTCTCGAGATTGGTATTGCTTGAAATTTTCTATTACAAATATTTGTACTTATCTTCTGAGATGAGCTGTGCATCGCGCACATGAAAAATCATATTAAAGTTTTGTCCATTTTAAAAGATCAAAGGCGTCAAGGAGTAATCAAGCTGAAAACAGCAAGCTTATCTGTTTTTTTTGTTTGTTTTTTTTGTTTTTATATTTATGTTTTCTCTGGTTGCGTTCATTCGTTTTTCTTTTCATTTTCTTTTTACTTATTTACTAAATTATTTCCTCTTTCTTCTTCTCCCATGCTTTTTCCAATTATCTTATTGCATGCAAATGAATACACACACACACACACACACACACACATATATATATATATATATATATATATATATATATATATATATATATATATATATATTTATTATATTTACACACACACACACATATATATATATATATATATATATATATATATATATATATATATATATAATGCAGCTTAATATAGTCATTAAAATAGTCATTCAAAGAATAATTCAATAAAGGTAATGGCCAACTCACTTCGCTAATAGATTAAGAAGGCATTAACTCACTGACCGCTGAACGACATGATCCTTGTTTTTATTAATTGTACAATGGATTAGATGTTCGGTCCATACTGTTTGCAAGTACTTTCGGTAAAATCATTTACCATTCCCGGGCATAATTTTTTTTTCTCAATTTCGGGTAAAATTCCTAGACGAAAATCAATGTGATGTTTTATTAAAAATGTGTGCTTTTATTAACATTTAATACAGTTTCTATCTGAATAGCCTCGTGGATTAACACGATCATTGGTGAATTTGATGACCAGTGTCTAGTACATTGATGAGGAATCAGGGCGAGTAACTGTACTAAATAAGAACGAGGACAGTTATCTTCTCCTCTTATCCGTATAAACTGCATCCTAACGCAACCCTCTACCTAGAGTGGCCCCGGCTCTTTTACGCGGTGAACCTTACTTTAAAAAACTAGACGAGATACCCCTAGAAATTATCAACGAAATGATAACAGTCTACTCACGCAGATTAATTAAAGACCTCACTCCGAAATTTCCTGAAGGTTACTCTCATCGACAACACCTGATGAAGGCTGGAGGACATAACGGCTGAGATATTGTGATTATATCAACAAAGATGAGTATGTGTTCAAATAATATATACTATGCTAAGTTATCATATTAAAATTATATATATTTATCCAGTATATTCACTTAGAAGCGTTTTCAAAGGTTTGAAATTTAAAATAAATCATTCTTTTCTTTTTAGTTTCTGCTTCGATGTTTCATTTAACAGCTGTAAATAATCAGTCTGAAATATTTCAGATGTCACCTCTTGTATATTATTTGAATTTATGTCCCGAAGCCTCGGAAATGTTTAGATTTTGATATATTTTCATTAAATATAAATGATTCGCTTCAGAGATTAATTTATGTCCAGAAATGTTTATAGCTTAAATAATCTTTCGACGACCTCAACATTTCATCAAAAAGGCCTAAGATTAAATATACGGCTTATTAGGTGTCTTGCTTTTTAACGTATTTTGATAATAGCCGATGGCAATTCTTATCGATTCAAGATAAGAGAAAACCAAAGTGATTTTAGTACGACGCGTTTTTTTTTCTTTTTTCCTCCTTGATCCCCCTTCATAAAATCATAGATTAATCTTGTAAAACTTTCTCATTGATAAATTTGGTGTATGTTTATCAAGAATATAAACTGTCCGCACCTAGATATCGTGCTAAAAATGGACTCTAAACTATCTCACCTACTCAAAGCAACGGACTGAATCAGAAGGTTCTCTGCATCTCAACGTCGGCTTTATCCTCTCCACAAAGCTCTGAATATCCAGGAGATATGAATGACCCAAATCGATAATATTTAATTCTTTAAATGTCAGAAATAAACATTTTTATGGTCTATGTTAGACGATAAAAATTTGATTGAAAATAAATTATGTTTTATTTTCTAATTTTAAGCTATCAATCTTTATACATAAACGCAGACATGCACATGCAAGCATATATATATATATATATATATATATATATATATATTTTGCAGAATTTTAGCACTTAGCTGACTGGTTTTGGTTCAGTCATTCCTACTAGGTAGATTCGTGAGCACGTCAAGATAACATGTTCACTCTTCAGGGCTTGCTGTCTTCTCTACTGTTATTTCTCAATTTTGCCGTTATTTATGTGTGGTTTGGTGTAATTTGATATCTTTTTATAGGCATGTTTTTTTTATTTTTGCTTTATGAAAGCGAATGTGGCTTTCCATTGGTGCTCATGAAACTATATAGTAGGCATGAATAAAGCAAGACC